GGAATAGGTATGTAATAATGAAACCTGAATGTGAATAGATCTGAGCTCACTTTATTTTCCCCCTTACTGTATAAAAGAAGAAACCGAATCCACAGAGTTTTAACTTTCCCAAATCCTCACGGAAGAGGTACAAACCTGAGGTTAGGGTGTAATTCATTCAGACCTCTTTCTGCTGTGTTGATAAACAGGAATGTGCTAAAACATGCTAAAATATAAAACGTGTTTACAATTTTACTGTGCACACATGTATAGAGACCTCCCCTGAGATTTTAAATGACTTTAAATTACTGTCCTTCCAGAGGAAGTTCGTCTCGTTCATATAACTTACCAAACCTCCAAACATTTTTCCAAAGATGGAAGTGGCTATCTTTTCTGTCCCTTCTCAGCTGTCTTCTCCTCTATCTCTGTCCAGTTACAGAAACACAAAGGAGCTTTTCTCAAAGGCAAGTGGCCCAACAGTTCCTAGAAAAGATAGATGCTAATGAATATGTTATCAAAAACTGGTAAAATGAGAGGTGAAACAAAACCAAGGTTTTACCGGTCATCTGCCTAACTCTTTTTGAGTCGATTCCTTTTAGATCTTATGTGGAGACCTGCTCTTTCCATCAATGTGTGTGTGCACATAGGCGCACGTGAGGCCAAGATGGACAGGAAGGAGACAGCTCTACTGGGAATTCTATTTATAAAGAAAAAAACATAATCCCATAAATATTGATGCCAGAGAAACAGCGCAGAGTTCAACTGTGCCTAAGATTAGATTGTTGCCAAGAATGCTGGAAAGTGTAGGTGTGAGCAGTTTCAACTAAGCCCGCTGTTGATAAGGAGACAGCTGTTGGCATAAATAAATGATATTTGGAGTCCATAAGTATATAACTGAAAGAATAGGGAGACAACAGCCAGCCCTCTCCAAAGGCATAATAGCAAGTTCTAATGATTGTTCCCTGAAGGACAGGGAATGAACTCACTGAATGAATTCAAGGAAGTGCAGGGTCAGGGGGCATCCCACCATGGTCAAGCCTTCCCATCGCTGGCCCCAGCAGCCACAGCACAAGGTGCGATGGAAACATGTCATACTCTAATGACAACAACAGCTCCTCATCGGTGGCAAGAACATAAGGATTCTGAGAATTTCTAAATAATCAGGACCATTCCAGCTTGGAAGGGAAGTGATGAAAATACCATGGGGTTAATGTTTAACAAAGGCGAAGTTCAGTGGGATTTATGAGGACCTCGTACACACACAAAGCAATCTCTGACATCCTTGCTGCTGTGGACCCTCCTTTGAGTCAGATAATTCAATTACTGTAAAAATGTACTTTTATTGCTTCAAAGCTGGGATCTCTCCATTTCCAGAGTGGCGGGAATCAGTTAAACCAAGTGCACTTTTTTAAAAAAATAAGTTAATTTGACTCAGAATTGAAGTCAAATTCTGGCACAATCCAGCAAGTAACTATAGAAGCTGATGGTAAGGTTGAAATACTAGGCACCACTCTGGGTACTTGCAAATTACTCATTCAATTCTCCTAAGAGCCTGTGAATTAAATACTATTTTCCCCATATTCTTGATGAGTAACCAAAGTATAGAAAACTTAAGACAATTCCAAAGGGCATCCAGTTGATAAATGTCAAAGCTGGGAATGGGGCCCTGGCTAGCGCAGCTACAGAGCCCATTTTGACCCATGTGCCTTGAGATTTCATTTTTTCCCACCTTTGACTAGTTGTCAAATACAGGATGTCCAGTTAAATTTGAATTTCAGATAAGAAACAAATAATTTTAGACAACAAATAATGTTGCAAATATTGCACAGGGCCATACTTCACTAAAACATTTCATTGTTTATTTGAAATTCAAAATTTTGAGGGTATCTTGTGTTTTTACTTCTTAAACCTTACAACTGTATCCCAGAGGGAGCTATATGCACCAAGGAAGCAAAGAAAACAATTTTGATTCACTTGAGCTTTGGTTTCAAATCCCAGAGTAGAACTCCTATCACAGGACTAGACTAGGTAGAGAAATCTTTATTTTGTATTTTATTTTTATTGTTTTAAGGATGGAGGGTAGCAGAGTGGAGGCCTCAGGCGCCACAACCTCTCCCTCTGCCACTTCTCCCTGGATAAATCGTTTTTCCTATACTTAAAACAGTCTAGAATAACAGCTCTCAAACCTGCCTGGATGTGAGCATTGCTTGTCTAGCTTTAATGATACACATGGGCTGGTCTGGCATGGTGGCTCATGCCTGTAGTCCCTCTTTGGAGGCTGAGGTGGGAGAATTGCTTAAGCCCAGGAGTTTAAGATCAGCTTGGACAATATAGTGAAACCTTGTCACTACAAAAAAATTAAAAGAATTAGCCTGTAGTCTCAGCTATTAGGGAGGCTGAGGTGGGAGGATCACTTGTGCCCAGGAGGTCAAGGCTGCAGTGAACCATGACTACACCATTGCACTTCCAGCCTGGGTGACAGAATAAGAACATGTCTCCATAATCATAATTATAATTATATTATACAGAGCTGGGCCTGACCTGTCCAAGATTTAGTACGTTTAGGGTGAGATGGGGACACCCACATTTTCTAATGAGCTCCTAAATGTTTTCTCCTTACCTTCTCTTCCCTCGCTTCCTCACTGGTCTGAAACTCTGACTCTAAGTTAGAGTTTACCATCTGTAGCAAGTCCAAGGATGCCAGAGTATATCTCTAGGGTGGGAGAAGAGGGAATAAAGAGGTGGGGTCTATGAGAGAGGACTTTTCCACAATGCCCAGAGCTGTCTTCAGGCCTTCTCAAGCTGGCTCTACAGCCTCAGGCCTGGACTACATGTATGAGAAAGATTTTTCAGAGTGGGATGAGGAGGTGAGAGAGAGAGAGAGAAACAGAGAGAGAGTGAGTCTGAGAGCCGTATGCAGGCCAGATCTCCCATTTGGAAGCAGGCCCTGGCACAAAGAGGCAAAACGGATCACACCGCAGGCACCAAGACTGTTATCCCATTTGAAAGCTCCAGCCCTATAAACTGTGACCGAAATAGTTCCCGGGAATTCAAATAAAAAAATCCTTCCCTAGAAGTGAAGAAAAAGTGGCCGGGCATAATGGCTCACACCTGTAATCCCAACATTTTGGGAGGCGGAGGCAAGCAGATCACTTGAGGTCAGGAGTTTGAGACCAGCCTGACCAACATAGTGAAACCCCATCTCGACTAAAAATACAAAAATTGGCCAGGCATTGTGATGGGCACCTGTAATCCCAGCTACTCGTGAGGCTGAGGCAGGAGAATCGCTTGAACCTGGAAGGTGAAGGTTGCAGTGAGCCACTGCACTCCAGCCTAGGCGACAGAGTGAGACTCCATCTCAAAAAAAAAAGTGAAGAAAAAGTGGAAAAGGGGCTGGAAGGGGCATAACCCCCCTCTGCAATGTGACTGTGCTTCATGAGGGTATTGCAAAATCAGTTTAGTAGAATATAACAATTTACTAATAAAAATGAAATAAATAAAATAAAAACAAGTAGAAAACATCCAAGGTACACACACACACACACATACATATTCATGTTATAACATATCTTTCTTTCTATGGGATCCTGTCAAGAAAGTTTGTAAAACACTGCTCTGGAGACAAATATTCATCACTTTTAGAAAGCAGAAAGCACAGGCAGAAAGGAATAGAACTCAGCAGACAAGCTGTGGGGAAACAAGACCCTAAAGAATACTCTAGAGCTCAGGCTGCTGCCAAAGAATTTTAAAGCAATAGATTTACAAGAAGTCTTTGGTAAACAGGAAGGTGGCGCATAAGAGGACCATTCATCCAAAAGGAGAAGGTAAATTCAAAAGCTGTACGTGTCACATTGCCTGTTTTTCATGCTGCCCCAGAAAGCCGTAGAAAAGGTCTCTGCTGAAACATTGGCCACCTCTGTGGTAGTTCTTCCCTGTCTCTAATGCCTTTTCTCTGCTTTCGAGATCAGAGGGCAGTGTGGGGTGGCACCGGAGAGATGGCAGCATTTGTATGAAGTTTAAGCACACCCAGGAAGCAAGGTAAGGGCTGGATGGAGAGCCCAACTTTGTGTACTCCGGACTGCTAAGCAAGGACACTTATTCCAGGGGAGGACTTTTGAGTTCGGGAGTCAAACTTTTTCATCTTCTCCTGTGAGATGTAAAAGAAACATTGAGAGGCCAGAAGAAGGTATTCCTTTAAGTTCTATCAATGCCGTGCAGTGAAACTTAGCGGTGATGTAAGCGTCCTGTGTTGAGCTACCCAATATGGTAGCTCCTAGCCACATGTGGCCCCTGAGCACTGGAAATGTGGTCAACGTGATTGAGCAACTGAATTTTAAATTTAATTTAATTTTAACTGTCATTCGTATTTAGATAGCCGCACATGGCTAGTGGCTACTGCATTAGACAGAACAATTCTAACATTTTGTGATTTTTTTTGATGCAAAATAACCTGGGTGTAAGTGATTAATCTTGTGACCAGGTCTATGTACTGAGTTTTATCTAAATTATTTGAGATAATCATAAACTCAAGGACATCTTTTAGCTGATTATATCTACTATGAAAAAGGAAATTTGCTGGATTGATTCATTATTATTTATATGCTTAAACACTCAAATTGTATCCTGGTATTAATGGTTTAAAGAGTCTTTGGTTATTTTAATGTTTTTCTTTACTGAAAGGAAAAGGAAACTGCAGTGAAATAGAAAAGACTGGTGTTAAATGCACCTAGTTGCAATGTTAAGCAAGTCATGATTTAAAAAACAGCCTGTGTTTAGTCAGATACCATCACCCGAAGAGAGTTCTAGAGCAGTTTTCTAGTAAGTCTGTAAGGTGGAAATTTACTACGTCTGCTATGGGAGCAGAAGTCATGATGTCACAGGTTCCGTGAAGTGGAAACACAGTCGAACACCCAGGGGCTCGGATCAGCTCAGCGAGGCCCTACCACTGTGTGCATTTTTACATTTTGGCTTGAATTTCTTGTTTTTATGCCTCTACCTTACCTGATACCCTGCTTGTTTAGTCACAGACTATGCACCCGACTGCTGCTGCTCAGTCCAGGGAAAATGAAAGTTGGAGTGCTGTGGCTCATTTCTTTCTTCACCTTCACTGATGGCCACGGTGGCTTCCTGGGGGTAAGTTGGTGCTATATCTCATATCTCTTCTCAACTATCTCTCCTCTCTCCTTCTGGCACTTTTAGAACCCCTCACTCTTTAGGGGACTGCAACTGCATAATTTAATGTACTTGAGATCCGAAGTCCTGAGTTCTCGTTTCAACATGACCAACATTCATTGTGTGGCCTTGAATAAGTAAGTCATTTCATCTCTTCGGAGTTTAGATGATCAAACTGCAAAAGAAGGATCTTTGATTAAACTATCTTAGAGATCTTTTCCAGTTCAACACATTCTCTACTATGGCTTCTTGGATGCAGAAAAGTCACATAGATGGACATTAGCAATCCTTTGACACTCTCTTCCCTATCTACACTCGCTGTCGTGATGCTTTCATCTAGGATCATGGTTTTAATATTCTCTATGTACAGATGACTCCCAGCTGTATAGCTCCATCTCAGACCTCTCCCCTGTCCACACTCACATGTCCATTACCTGCGTGTTATTTCCAGCTGGGCACCCAGTGGACCTCCGAACTTCATTTGTCCGAAATCGAACCCACTCCTTCTTACCTGTCTCAGCAGGTGGTATCACTATCTTTCCAGCTACTTAGGCAAAAACACCTTAAGAATCATGCTTGACTCTTCTCACATTCCATATCTAAACCACTGACATTACTTTTTAAGCTTTATCTTTAAAATATATCCAGAATTCAAAAACTTCTCACTACTTCCGTGGCTGCTACCTTGATCCACACCTTCATTGTCTTTCACCTGCATAATTTCAACAACCCCTGAAATACACTCATTGCTTCTGTGCTTATCTGTTCATAGCAGGGCTTCAGGATTGAGCCTGCTACAAAGTAAGTTACAGCATGTCTTTCCCCTGTTCAGAGCTCCCCAGTGGTTTCTCATCTCACTCGAGGCAAAGATAAAACCCATTCCGTGGCCTATAAAGGCCTGTACAACCTACCTCCCCAGACACCCTCTGACCCCACCTCCTGTGCCTCTCCTCTCTCTCTCCTCTCTCCGCGGCTCTCGTGTCCTCATTCTGCCTTCACCTGCCAGGCATACTCTTACCCTTCAGGTGTTTGCTCAAAAGTTGCTCCAGTGAGGCCTTCCCTGACCACCTCTCCACCATCCCTGGCTTGGGTTTTAGATTCATGATTTTAATTCATCTGGGAAACTCAGCGAGGCCTTATGAAGCACAACTCTTCAAAGTCTAACCATAACTATTTGTTTTCTTTTTAACAGAGAAATGATGGCATCAAAACAAAAAGAGAACTCACTGTGAATAAGAGAAAACATCTAGGTGAGGCTCTGTCAGACAGCATGGTGCAGTGGATTTTGGTGTCAAGGGACCAGGGTTCTAATCCCAGCAGTGCCTCTGACTGGTTGTATGATCCTAGGCATATTATTAAACATCCAAATATGTACAAGGAGAACGACAGTAATTCCTATGAGCAGGACATTTGTGAAGATTAAGTAATATCATGAGAGCATAGTGTCTTACATCAGACCTGGCAAGCAGCTGTTCACACACGCCCTTTTCTTCTGTGCCTTGATTCTAACAATGTAATTAACAGCCATAGTTCCAGTCTGGAAATGAATTGTGTTCTGAAATTTAGTTTGTGGATCTGATGTTTCTAGTGCTGAACACATTTCCTCATAAGAACAGTGATGCACATGTGGTTGTTAGGTTCCTGGATCAGTCCACAATAGCTTTTCTATCATGCAATGAATCTGCCATACAGCAATCTGCTAATAGTACCGTAGCACCTATCACCATGCAAGGCTACACTTCTTTGGGAAAATGAAATCAAAATTTCAACTTGTAATGACATGAATACAATTTTCCTGACAGTAAAAATAACAATAAAAATATAGCAACTATTATTGGGATGTTACTATGTGGCAGGACTATTTGAAGTGCATTAGTTGAATTAAACCCTCACACTGACCCTCTGAGTTAGGTACAGCAGTCACCTTTATTTTACAGATAGTGAAACTAAGGCACAGAACTAGCAGCAGGGACCAGGATTCAAATCCAGTCAATCTGGCTCCAGAACCAGTGCCATTAACCCCTGACGATGTGAGCAAGGCCACCCTTTTCCCTGTTCCCCACTCCTCACCTGCTTGGACAGTAGGAATGGGACTCACGTCAGCTCCCACCGCTAAGAGACGACTTTCAATGCCTGGGGAAGAGGCTCCAGTCTGTAAGGAGATGGGAGAGTAAGAGATGGGACTGGGGTGCAATGGTGTGGGATGTCGGGTCTTTCATAGGTGAGCTTTGGGGGACCTTGAAGCCCTTGGGAATTTCATGCCAAGTTTTATGTGAATGGACTTAAGTGAATTTTGGATGGGAGAAGACTTATAGGGTTCCCCTCCTTTCCCTGTCAAAATCAGTTAATGGCTTCTCCGTGGGGAAAGAAAAGGTGCTGTCCAGAAATGATGAGCTGGAGGTGAGGGTGCATCAAGCCTCAAGGGAAAGTTTAGTTTTGTTTTGCTTTTGGATTTCATATAAATACCCAAACTCAGCTAACAAATGGAATATTTTCACAGGAGAAGAAAGGGCTCTTCGTAAGTGTGAGATTGAGGGGTCTTATATTGGAGATACTTCAGGGAGATCAGAGCTGGGGGCGGGGGAGGGAAGGTTGACTTGGATTTCCTCACCTCTTCCCCCTTCAGTCTCAACACCTGAAGCTTGACTGTGGGTGCGCCGTGAGGAACTGTGTAACATTGAGAGAGTGATTCTGGGGAGGGACAGGCAGCACCGGGGCAGCTGGCCTGGCAGAAGTGAGAGGACAGACGTATATTCGGCATGTGTGGGAGCCATCGGCTTGTGTTTATCCTGGGTATTCATTTTTAGTCCATGTTTGGATGAGAGGAACTCAAGAACAAGCAGTGTGATAGAGTCCCTGATCTTCAGGCTGAATTTGATGATTGTTTCTCAGTCACTTCCTCAGTAATATTTTCCCCATGGACAGAAAAAAAGGTTTCTGACTCTCTTTCTCTCTTTAGGCCCAGTCCAAGAATATGAGCTGCTGCTTCAGGTGACCTATAGAGATTCCAAGGAGAAAAGAGATTTGAGGAATTTTCTGAAGCTCTTGAAGCCTCCATTATTATGGTCACACGGGCTCATGATTATCAGAGCAAAGGCTACCACGTGTAAGTGGCTGTCAGTGACTGGATATGTAAATGGAGAAGGCGGGTGTATCAGTCAGGGTTATGCTATCAGGTTGGGTTATGCTGTGGAAACAATCATCCCTACAATCTATGTGATTTAAAAGAATAAACGCTTTATTTCTTCTTCATGCTACGTGTCCATTGCAGATTGGCAGAGGGCTGTTTCTGTTGCCACCAGTACGCAGAGTGATGTATCAGACCCTATCTCATATGTACCCATGCTAAGTCAAAAATAAATGAAACACTGGAGAGTTTTCCATAGGCAATTAAATTCTCTAACTCAGAAGTGACCACAGTAATTCTGCCCACAACTTATTAGTTAGAACTGGCTCCGTGGCTCCACTTAACTTCAGGGGACTAGGATATGCAATCCTGTGTACCTGGAAGATGGCAAGAAATATTTGGCAAACAGCACTAATAAGCAAAAGGTGGGGTTCAGAGAAGTTAAATTATTGATCTAAAGCAGTGATTCTTAAAGCGTGGTGGTCCCCAGGCTAGCAGTAGCAGCAGCAGCAGCATTAGGGAACTTAACAGAAATGCAAATTCTTCATTCATCTTGACTTAGAGGATCAGAAACTCCAGGGTGAGATCTTCCAGGTGATTCTGTTGTGCAATAAAGCTTGAGAACCATTTGCTGCACACTGTGCATATTTTCACAAAGGTGTCCGGTGACTTTGCCTTGCTTTTTGATCTACTGAAAAAAAATGACTTCGGTGGGAATTTCAGGTGTGATAGAAGGGGGCAGGCATAGAGGATTGCTACTAGAGAAACTTTTCATCATGACTTTCCCCGAAAATGTTTCTCTGCCTTTGTCATCTTGCTTATAAGGCCTACCTGGGAGTGGTGGCAGGTGGATGGAAAGGAGTCTCCAATGAGATGGTGGTCAAATACCCTCTAGAATCCTTTAAATATCTCTCCTATTACAAATGTCCTCTTCTGCTTCTCTCTTCCATTGCAGTGGCTATGTATGGAGCATACATCCTTCCTTTGCATGCTAATCCCAGCCATTGTAGCTTTATGTTTGTTAGCTTTCCGATACTAACCTCAGAATTTATTGAGTTGGACATTTCCTTACCTTAAATATGTTGCCATCCTGGCTTCATCCTTCTGGCTTTTGGTGAGAAATATTACCATTATTTTACTTTTAATGGCAAAAAATTGCTATTACTTTTGCACCAATCAAATCCTTGGTCCAGATTCCATGTCAGTGCTAAGGATCAGAAATCACTACTCAGGGCTGGGTGCAGCGGCTCAGGCCTGTAATCCCAGCATTTTCGGAGGCCAAGGCAGGCAGATCACTTGAGCTCAGGAGTTCAAGACCAGCTGGCCAACATGACGAAATACTGTCTCTACTAAAAATACAAAAATTAGCCAGGGGTGGTGGTGCATGCCTGTAATCCCAGCTACTCAGGAGACTGAGGCACAAGAATCACTTGAACCCAGGAGGCAGAGTTTGCAGTGAGCTGAGATCATGCCACTGTATTCTAACCTGGGCAACAAACCAAAACAAAACTCATAGAAGATGTGAGAAGTTAATCTGAAAAATAAACATATATAAAATAAAATCACTGCTCAGCAGTAGTCAGTTTATAAACCAGAATCCATGAGACTGAGTTCTATTTTTTTTTTTTTTTTTTTTTTTGTAGACTGCAACAACCTGAATGGGGTCCTGCAGTGTACCTGTGAAGACGGCTACACCTGGTTTCCTCCTTCATGCCTCGATCCCCAGAACTGCTACCTTCACACGGCTGGAGCACTCCCAAGCTGTGAATGTCATCTCAACAATCTCAGCCAGAGTGTCAATTTCTGTGAGAAAACAAGTAAGCAACTAAGAATGCTCGGGCTGGGTCTTCTCTCACCCCAACATGCAACAGAGAAGGGACTTTGGCTCATCGTCTTGCTAGTCACTGTTTGTTTACAGGGAGATTGAGGGACAGTGATTATATATTATGTTGGGCCTGGCTGGACACAGTGAGAGTTTTCATAGTACAGAAGATCCAGAAACACATGGTGACATGTGACGGTCACTTCAACCTTTAGGTCCATCCAGCTCAGCTCTGCAATCGTATGATTCTACTGAGATTGAGGGAGAGTTGCTAAAATTCCAAAATGAGGAACTGCTTGAGTAAGCAACATTTGTCTTCCTACTCTCTTTTCACTTCTTTTGCCAACATCAATTTCAAGAAAAGGGAAGTCTAGAGATGTGAATGCAAGGAGGAACACACAGTGAATCATTCCATTAAAAGAAATGCTGTCAATTGTCAACAAATATGTGTACTGAATGCCTTGTTAAAACAAAACAAAAGCTAGAAGTCTAGCTTAGGAAACCAGTGGTAGCTGAGGGAGCTATGGCTAACTTAGGTTTCTGTTCAATGAAAGATGAGATTAGCCAAATGACACGGACTCCAGGGCATGAAAGACTTTAAAAAGCTCCTGCAATGATTACTTCAGTTAACTGGAAGCCCCAGATATTGGTGGAACTGAGCAAAGAATGAGCCTGAAATAGCCCAGCTTAATTGGGAATACTGGCTCTCCTTCCTGGGACTACAGCAATTCAGGTTATGGCAATACATTACTTATTAAGCACCATCTTTATACCCAGATCAGAGGCAAATTCTAGGAGGACATGAAGAAGAATTTCTCTTGCTGTCTATGAATTAAGAGACTCATTGGAGAGGCCAGGCTGTAATACAAGAAAGAAAATAATGTCATTTCTTCAACAAATGTTGATGAAAGCCTATGTTTTGAAAGATGGGCACAGCAGCTTACACCTGTAATCCTAGCACTTTGGAAGGTTAAGGCAGGCTGATTGCTTGAACTCAGGAAGAGTTCGAGACCAGCTTGGGCAACATGGCGAAAACGTATCTCTGCA